AATATTAGAACATAATATAAGAACGGCCATACCTGGTCAGACCAAAGGTCCATCTAGCCCAGTATCCAGTCTTCTGACAGTGGCCAATGCCAGATGCTTCAGAGGGAATGAACAGAACAGATAATAAAGAGGCACATGCTAAATTCAGTCTCTGACAGAAGGTAGTTGAGAAGGAACTGAGGGCGGTTCACCTGTGCAACCCTATATAGCCTTAGTATGGGGTATGAGGATGTGAAGGGCACATGCGTGGGTGAAATGGGCACTGCTACCAGAAATTCTGAGCAAAGGTATAGGGGCATATGTGCACCTAAAGTGGAGTGCCCACTGGGACATTACTCATAACTGAAATTTTGTCATTTCCCCTGTGTAATTTAATGGAAGGGTTACCAAGTGAGATCCCAGTATTTTGCCAACTGTTTTACCAGAAAGCTTACAAGGAATGGAAGATGAGAAGGATCAACAAGGAACGCTACCTCCTGGAGGTCAGAAAGTGTAGGGATAAAGTGAGAATTTTCAAAAACCAGACAGATTGGGACCTTGCAAAGAAAATTAAAACCAATAGTAAAAGGTTCTAGAGCCATATAAATAAAAAGAAAACAAGGAAACAAGAAATGGAACTACTAAGTACTGAGGAGATCGGGTGGAGATTAAAAATAATCTATCCATGGCCCAGCACCTAAGCAAATAATTTGCCTCGGTTTTTAATAAGGGAACGAGGATATGAAAGTAGAAATTACCACATCTGAGGTGGAAGTCAAACTCAAACATCTTAATGGGACTAAACTGGGGAGGGGGGGGGACGGGGGCTGGATAATCTCCATAGAAGAATATTAAAGGAACAGGCAGATGAAATTGCAAGCCCAATAGCAAGGATGCTCATTTAGACCAAATAAAAGCTGGTTAATATGGTTAGTGACATTTAATTGTATTGTAGGAATAAAGCAGAATAAGAATACTTACCATTTAAAATTAATAAAATAATGCAAGACGACAAAGAAAATTAGTGTTTGCCAGTATTCCTCTAAAATGCTCCACTAATATAAGTAAACAGCATGTGAGAAGACAGCAAGGTGAAAGTTACATTATGATTTTACTGTATTTGAACAATATTAAGTATATCTGTATTCAGTTCTTGTCTCCTACTCACTACCATTTATATGAGATGTTATAGGACTTGAGAAGTACACAGAGAAGGTCAATAATACTCATTCTAGGGACCATTGTAAATAAAAAGGAGGATACACTACAAAAATCTATATTTGCATTGGAAAAAATATGATTCAAAATAAATGGATATGATTTCAGATAATTAGTGAAGAGAAATTGCAACCCTAGGATGTTCTGCCTCCCACAAATAATAGAAGGTAATTTGAGAGGAAGTAAAAGAAAAGCAATTTCAGCAAATGTCAGCAAATTTTTAAAAGGAGAAAATAAATTGTGTACTCAAGGGAATATCTGACCAGTAAAGGTTCTTGAGGCATTGTTTTGGGAACATTCAGAAAATCTGTTATATTACTGGAGAATAGGTGCTTAGAAATAATACTACTTCATGGGAAGAATCCCCAACCTCCACCAAACATCACTAACTTTGAGTGTAAAATTTTAAAAGTTCTCTTTGCAAACAAATACTGGTGCATTAATCTAGGATATTTTTATATGGAAATGTGCACTCTATATTATGGCAGTGAGCATGATAAAAAAATTAAGTGTGCCATCATTGTCACCCTATTAGGAGGAGTTTAGTATGGAATCTATTACATTGTGTTCTGCTGATGATTTATATTTTGGAGCTCTGAATGCAGAGCATAGCTCTTTATAAATTAACCTCTAAGGAGAAGTAAATTGTGAGACTCTTTGTTAAGACCAAAATAGAATCATAGAATCATAGAATATAAGGGTTGGAAGGGACCCCAGAAGGTCATCTAGTCCAACCCCCTGCTCGAAGCAGGACCAATTCCCAGTTAAATCATCCCAGCCAGGGCTTTGTCAAGCCTGACCTTAAAAACCTCTAAGGAAGGAGATTCTACCACCTCCCTAGGTAACGCATTCCAGTGTTTCACCACCCTCTTAGTGAAAAAGTTTTTCCTAATATCCAATCTAAACCTCCCCCACTGCAGCTTGAGACCATTACTCCTCGTTCTGTCATCTGATACCATTGAGAACAGTCTAGAGCCATCCTCTTTGGAACCCCCTTTCAGGTAGTTGAAAGCAGCTATCAAATCCACCCTCATTCTTCTCTTCTGCAGGCTAAACAATCCCAGCTCCCTCAGCCTCTCCTCATAACTCATGTGTTCCAGACCCCTAATCATTTTTGTTGCCCTTCGCTGGACTCTCTCCAATTTATCCACATCCTTCTTGAAGTGTGGGGCCCAAAACTGGACACAGTACTCCAGATGAGGCCTCACCAATGTCAAATACTCTCTATAGAGCTCAGAAACTGCTCAAAGGGCTAATCAAGATCAGATAAAAGCATATGTGGGTCTCATAAACCATCTTGGATTCCATCTGCTTAAGAGAATCAGAATTAAAATATGGTAGTGGTGGGGAATAATGCATGGATATTATCTCCCTGACTTCTACAGAGACTACGCTTGAAATGAATACACGTGGAAACACAAAAAGAAGAGAAAAGAAGATCTTGGATGTGTTGTGATGCTGAATTTAGGCTCAGAGTCAGATGACCCATCCATATCTTTGCATCTGCAGTATCCACAGACATGGATAGAGTGGGTAATGCCTTGTGTTACTGTAGCTATAGTGTGTTTTTGTCCCTCAGCCACCGTGTAGTCATTAAAGTTAAATTCATTTGCTAGGCCTTTAACTAAGACCATCAGTTTCAGTCCACATGCAAGTACAAGCATAGAAGCTCACGGTGTTATGGTATGGTAGCTCTACTGACTCCCAGAAAAATAGTTCATGTAATAGTGCATCATGGCAGTTCAATGGATGGGGTGCCACCTTCTGGTCAGTCACAAATGGAAGTGAGTGTTTTGGGGTATCCAGAAGCACTTATTCTGCAGACCCCAAGGCTACAAACTAACTGAACAATATGAAGGCAGGTGCTTTCAGGGGATGGAGAGGGGGAGGAATGTTGCAGAAATGGCTAGTTCTTTGGAGCACTCCTTTCCCACCTGCTCCACCTCAGTCTTGCCTGGGTTCAACTTTTGGCTAGGCACTGAGCAATCTGAGAAATGGTACTATTTGCACTGGAAAATACACAGTTTGACCCTGCAGTGGGTTAGTCTCTGCCAATTCAAATGGGAAATTCCCAGTCTGAACCAGCACACAAGCCTAGGTTTTGGCATGTGCTTCCAAGGTGCATAGTATTCTGAGCTATATCTTTTTTCTTGTTTTGGGTGGATGCAGTGGTTACCGACATGCTTTTAGGAGTTCTTTCCAATTCTGATAGTAGTGATCATGTAAAGCAGAGGTGGGCAAACTTGTATATAGTGTATATATAGTGTAGGAATATACTAGTATATGCCACCTTTTTATCACTTTTTAACAGTAAACTGCACCTACACTAGGTTTTTTTCCTGATATAACTATTTTGTTTAAAAAAAAATCACACCCTAACTAAAATTATAAACCATAACCCTTTTCAGACTAGACCAGGCCCAATCTTCATTACTGCAGAACACCGAGTTTGGGTGTGACCTTTTACAAAAAAAAATCCCCTAGTTTGAAACAAATGGCCCAACTCAAATTCCCATTGCTATGAAATATAAATTGACAAATCCTCAAAGCCCACTGTCACAGGATAAAATATTACTACCGAGCTAAAACAGTCTTGAGATTTTACAGTGTGGACTTTTTAAAGTGTTTAACACAGCATTTAGCACACTAGCAGAACTTAGCATATTTACATTTTCTCACACAATCCAGTTAACATCTTTTCCTGGTATTTTAGTCACCAGTTAATTGATTTTTATGTAAAATGGGCAAACTCTACATCACTGCAGGTGCCTGGTAGTTACTATTTTAGCAACATAATTATCCAGTGCCTAAGGCCTCTTTTACACCTTTTCAATGGATGATGGTTGTTGATAAAAGTTCACAAAGCTTGACTACAGCCTTAAGATCAGGAGAATATTATGTCTGCCTTATTAACTATTATGATTTTATGATTTCACAAGGTTAAGTATGTCACATACATGGATCTTTTTAAAGATAGACAATAAGTAAATTAAAATGCCTAATAAAAGTGTCTAGTGCAGGCAATCCAGGTCTTACTCAGGAAAAAAGCCAAAGTAGGTGGATCAAATGAACTTTTCTGATCCGTTATGAGAAAGGCAATTCAACCCCCAATTTGCAGACTACCTAACAAAAAAAATTGCCTGAAATAATTCTTTTTTTAAACTTTGTTTAATATAGAACTTCCACTCAATCCAAAGTTGCAAAATTATCCTTGGAAAAATTAATGAATGCCTCAGAACATTGCTGTGAGAAAGGTAAGTACTATCTTAATTTCAGATGTGGGAAAGGTGTGTCAGAGAGAGATGAAGTCATTCAGCAAGCCTGTTGCAGAGTCAGGAACAGAACAGAGGGTGGGATCTATGAAAGGACTTAGATCTTGCAAAGCTGAGCATCACACTGTGTAAGTTTTAGGTACCTAGAAAATCACAGGAAGAACACTGTGATCCACAAAGCCAAGTTAGGCACTCAGGCTCCCTATACAATGAATGGGGAGAGATAGGCACCTAAAAATGAGACCCACAAAAGCCAGCAAACTAGGAGCAAAGCCACCTAAGCTAGTCAATGGTGACAACAAAGATGTGTGCTAAATCCCACCCCTCTCTTGGAGTTAGGCACTACATCTAGACTGTAGTGAGGTGCTTATCTCTGCTTAGCAATCCATGATTGGGAGCCAGCCACCCAGAGTCCGGACGTTTAGGCACCCAAGTTGTTTCTTGTAGGAATAAGTTAGGCACCTGCCTCACTCCACACAGAATGGTGAAGGAAGAGGTGTCCAATTTTAGTCTAGTGGTTAGAGAACTCACCTGGGGTGTGGGGCTCCCTCCAGCTCTCCTGTTGAAGCTGTACTGCTGTGAACAAATAACAAAAGAGTGATTGGAGCATGGGACTGGACCCTGTGTTCCCACTGAATGACAGTCGTTCTCTCTCTGGCCTGATGACTGTTCCACCGTGGATAAATACGAGAGTGAGCGAGTGAGAGAGAGAGAGACTATAGACCAGTGGTTAGGGCACCCAGATAGGAGGTGGGAGCCCCAAGATCCAGTCCACCTGCTCCACTCTTGCATTATTTATCCACAGTGGAACAGAAGGGAAAAGAAGGAGCTGCCCTTTGCTCAGAGTAGATAATTAACTCATGATCTAGCCCTTAATAATCTGACATTCATACATATTTCCAAACCCATGATTCATGATCAAGATTATGATGATCAAAAAATCAGTGGTGTTGTTCCCAATAGTTCCATATACTGTTGTGATTTCTTACTTGTCAAAACGTGCTCTTATTCCAATTATTTGTATTATTAGAAGATTATACCTTGCAAATCTGGTACAAAGTGGTGACACAGGAAAAGTCAAAACAAGGGCAACAGGGAGAAGTATGTAATTCTGGAAAACGTAAACAGAGCCCTTGTTTATAGTATTATTCATATGACTCAGTATAATTGTTATTATCTTGTAAACATAACTCACTGCTGTTCAGAACTGTGTAATCCACATAGTAATTTGTCAAATTTAAAAATATTTTAGACTGTCATTTCATGTCTCTTTCAGTTTTTATTCACTGCATCTATATGAAATAGGCGCTTTGGGCTTTTATTTTGTATACATATATATTAATTCAAAGGTACTTTCTTTAATTTTATTCTCTGGTGGTTATTTTGTAATTGTTAGGTAGTTAGCTATTCAGAATCTTTTTTATTTATTTTGTTGTTTGTACTACAGATTAGTGTTAAGTACTTGGTAAAAATAGGATGGTGAGGAAGTGACTGCACATGCCTGGGAAATTTGCTCTAGAAATTTGGCTTTTATTCCTGGCTTTTCCACAGACTTCCATAGGAATCTAGGAAGTCATTTAACCCTTGCCTCAGCTTTCCTTCTATAAAATGTGGATAATATTTACATCCCTCACAGAAGTTCATTAATGGTATAAATCACCCTCAGATCCTCGGATGGAAGGCATTGTAGTAGTGAAAAATATTATAAGCCAACAATGAAATATTACACATATCATCAGACTGTACCAGTGATAAGGTAAGAGAATAGTGGTGATTTACCTTTTCTTGCAGAAGGTACTCTTGCTATTTCTAATGAACAAGGTTTCTTCGTAACTGCTATGTCCATGAAATCACAAAGGTTGTTTTCATTTTCTGAAGGATGAGCATCAAGAGAACCAGAAGGTACTACTTCCAGTGTATAGCTCCTTTTCTTTCGGTAAGACTCCTGAAAAGTAGAAATGCAACTACATGATAAAAATAGCCTTGGTGGATGCAGTAAAACTGTAAAAAAGAAAATGGTCCAATAACTCTGTCAAAAATAGAACTTAAAATTCAACAGTTTAAATAGATCACTTCCTATTGAAACCCTAAATTTAGTGACTAGAAGGGGTTACCTATAGTCTATCATAAATAAATTTCACTGTTGAATATTACATTTTAAAAATTATTTGTGAAGATTGTGTATGGATTTCTTTAACTCTTCATTTGACATATGGCAAGCACTCTAATGCAGTTGCTTTTACTGTACCATTTTTGTTAAGTTCTGATTCAGGTATATATCCTGATCAGGTTTTAAAAGTGTATTTTGTGAAAGAAACAGAATTATATAGAGTTAATAAATGGAATTTCTTTGTTTTCACGGATTTTGTGAGTCTGTTCATACTATACATATAACACATGGATAACCTGATCTATTGTTTGATGGCAGAACCCAGAAGAGGTTAGTTTCCTTTGAATATCCTGAATGACTAGTGTTATGGGCACTAGGGCTCTCTTTGGATATTCTTTTATGTGTGTGTTTTTTTGTGAATAGAAACAATTAGAAGTGGATACTTACTAGTTGTGATTTCCTGAGAAATAGGAGGCATCCCTTGATATCTACAGGCTCAATTCAAATCCCCCTGAAGTCAATAAAAAGACTCCTATTGGACTTCAAGTGGAGTTAAACTGTGCCTTAAATAAATATTTAAATATTAGTGGTGTATTCTAGGAGTATGAGCTCCCTACATTTACTAATGCTGGAAAGAAGCAAACAGATAGAAGATATGACATGTTCACTCTGCCAAATCATGAGATTGGTTTCAGTATTCAAAACCACTAAATTAAGTAGGGCTTGGCTGGTTCAGAACATGAGTGAAAATAGTCTGGTACAGGAATTTCTCTAATTTCGTGGTTGCAATCCAGCAAAATATGATAAAGCATTTAAGGACAATCTCTCACAGGAACACAGTGTTTGGCTATTCTGTGTCACCAATATAGATGCATGTAGAAATCAGACACCATGTAAATCTGATAGGACAAGAAACTATGCAACGGGCCAGAAAACACTAGTGTTCATAAGAGTCACACATAAGTAAAGTACTTCCCAGCAAACAATGTAAGAATGTGCCACCCAGAGGAGTTCATGGCATATCAATTTCCCCATAGACTAAAAAATATTTCATCCAGCCCAAGGCAAACAGATGGCTGTAGATAACCAGACCATTTCTGCTGTGGAAGATTTGTGCATTCATTGGCCCTTTAAACTACTAGAACCTTCTGCAGTTTTTTCCTCTATTCAGTTATGCCTGATACATATGGAAGTTCAAAAGCAGATAATTCTGAACCTACTGGGAGGCAGAGACTCTGGCAGCAGCATCATGGCAAGAGCAGCATGAGTACCCTCATAGCCGCTTCATGATTCCACATACTAACATTAGCAGAACCAAATTTCAGTGAACTGTTTGTTGAAACAGGAGAAGGGGGGTGTGGATTCAGAAAGAGGAGATGACTATTGAAAGACATGTATAAAGAAGAAGCTGGAAGAAAAGCAACATCATGGAAAATGGTGGATTAAACAATTGAATATAGGAAATGGTTTTCAGAGAAAATAAAAATATAAATTTGTAATAAATAGAATATATGCAAAAGAATAAACAGGCTAGCATAAATAATTAAAGATTAACAATTTCCATTGAGAAACAAAAGCAAATAGGGTTCTAAATAAAATTTAGAAAAGGAAACAATGAATGGGGAGGGAAAAAAAAACTGTTACATCTTTTACCTTTCCATCCTTTGTCTGTATGTTTGTCTGTCTATTCAGAATGTAGGCTCTGTGGGACAGCATCCTTGTTTATATTTCTGTATAGTGCCTAATGCACTTTATTTATACAGTGCCCTAAAGAGTTGGGCAAGTTTTGCATTTGGGCCTCCTGCACTGTTAAGTATGATTTTTTTAACTCAAAATGGTCTCATTCCCCAGATGAAGAATGTACAAAATGGTGCATTTGATACAAATCCTGCAAAGATTTACACATGGGCTTAGCTTTAAACATGGTAAAATGTCCATTTGAGGACAATGGGATTATTCACAGTGAGAAAAATATAGCACATAGACAAGTCTTTGCAGGATTGGTGCCTTCGAGTTGGCTCACACAGAACCCTGTATTTTGCACAAGGGTCTGAGAAGAGTTACAAAGGAATCTTAGAAAACTGCATGACTGGGCAACAAAATGGCAGATGAAATTCAATGTTGATAAATGCAAAGTAATGCACATTGGAAAACATAATCCCAACATTACATATAAAATGAGTTGGCCAAATTAGCTGTAACCACTCATGAAAGAGACCTTGGAGTCACTGTGGATAGTTCTCTGAAAACATCCACTCAAAGTGCAGTGGCAGTCAAAAAAGCGAACAGAATCTTGGGAATCATTAGGAAAGGGATAGATAAGACGACAGAAAATATCACATTGCCTCTATATAAATCCATGGTATACCCACATCTTGAATATTGTGTGTAGATATGGTCGCCCCATCTCAGAAAAAGGTATATTGGAATTGGAAAAGGTACAGAAAAAAGAAACAAAAATGATTAGGGGTAGGGAACAGCTTCTGTTTGAGGAGAGATAATAAGACTGGAACTTTTCAGCTTGGGGAAAAGACGACTAAGGGGGGATATGATTGAGGTCTATAAAATCATGACTGGTGTGAAGAAAGTAAATAAGGAAGTGTTATTTATGCCTGCTCATAACACAAGAACTAGGGGTCACCAAATGAAAATAAGCAGCAGGTTTCAAACAAACAAAATGAAGTATTTATTCACACAATGCACAGTCACCCTGTGGAACTCTTTGTCAGAGGATGTTGTGAAGGTCAGGACTATAACAGGGTTAAAAAAAGAACTAGATATATTTATGGAGGATAGGTCCATTAATGGCTATTAGCCAAGATAGGCAGGGATGGTGTCCCTAGCCTCTGTTTGCCATAGACTGAGAGTGGGCGTCAGGGGGTGGATCACTTGGTAACTGCCTGTTCTGTTCATTCCTTCTGGGACACCTGGCATTGGCTGCTGTCAGAAGACAGGATACTGGTCTACATGGATCTTTGGTCTGACCCAGTATGGCCGTTCTTATAGAAATGATAGCACTGTACTAGTAAAGTGTTTGCTTTCTTTCATTCAGAATAAAAGCAGAATACCTCTTCTATCTATGCTAACTCCCATCCTAATAGATTATTCTTGTTTGTTTTGTGTATATGAAATTAATGAATGGACAGAAGAGAAGAAATCTTTCAAATTAGTGTAGGGATGCAAACAACATGGTTTCTTCTGAATTTAGAAATAACAGTTGTCCTGACTTTCAGATAAAGCTTGTACTCTATCTCCCCTCCCACACAGGGATGTACAGTCCTCAGACACAACCAAGCCCATGTGGTTCCACGTTATTTGAAGGGTGGAGATTTTGAGAGCCCATTCCAAGGGTGCGCATCCCCTGGCACTCTGTTCCACAGAGGTTCCCTACAAGTAGTCTCACAAGGGAACTTGAAGGAGGAGGAGGAGGTTAGTGTGGATGGTTCTGACGCATTGCAAATCCAGTGGCTACAGCTCCTTCACAGAGGGTTTTTAGATGCTGCAACTCCATAGCAAAGGAAAGGATTTCTTCCCATGACCTCTGGGGAAGGATTTGCCCCTTTGTGCTTATGACTGTATTTTACAATGACAGATAGCACAAATTTATTTTCCATGGCAACCAAATACAATAGCAGAGCTCAATTTAGCCCTTGTACATGACATCTTCTGCTGGCATAATACAGGGTGCAGGGCTCATGGTGATGGCAAATCTGCCTAGACTGGATTACAACTCAAGCTACCTGGGGGCCCACAGGCACCAACACTGTTTGTCTGGAGAGTGGCCATGCCTAAGGTGCCCAGGGATGCCCAAGATGTACATTTCCAGTTTGCAAATTCTGCTTTCAGGACAAATGTGCACAACTCATGTTGCAAGATTGCTATAAAGTGCCAGGCAAAAATTGTTAAAGGTAATAGGGTTACTAGTGAAGTTGGTGGAAGCTGAGTTACAAACAAGCAAACTCCCCCTAATATTCTAATAGTTCAAATAATGCCAATAAAATGGCCAGTGTAAGTTACATATGCCAAAGGCAAAAATTCATCTTTAACCAATATCCAAAGACATCTGGAACAGTATCAGATAAGCAATTTACTCAAAAAATTAAGCCTCAACTCAATAAAGAATATGTAGATAAAAAGGCAAATATAAAATTGACCTCTTGTTTCAGCAGAAAGTAATGGGAAGACTTCCTGGTTGGTGTAATATGTTCCTTTCTGTATGTGCCAAAGTCCATTCTTGAATTGCATAGTTACGTACAATTTAAATAGCTAGATGTTAGCAAATCACATAAAATTGTTTTCAAGTCTCAGGCACCAAGCAATTTAATCCTCGCTTATTTCTAAAATGGAAAGCTGTGTGTAGTAATCTTAAGTATGGGGAGCTTTTGTTTCCCTTTTCCCCACCCCAATCCCCCATGCAATTTTAGTGTGTGGTAAGTCCACACTGGACCCACATGCCTCCTAAATGTACAAATGCACATAATAAATCCCATTAAAATTATAGTTGCATTACTATTGAGTAATCTTTAATACACAGAATCAAAATCTCACTTGTATTTGGATTTAATTTTAACCAGTTAGAGATGATTCAATCCTGAATGTCTATAAACTAATCCGAAATGTCAGAGCTGTCTAGGATTTGATAGAAAAGCTATATACATAACTGCATATCAGCTATTTAGTAGCTAACTGTTGTCAGAATTAGTTCTAATTTGGAATAAGAACTTCATAAAGTTTTAAAGTAAGCTATGTGAGCTGGCAATATGTTGTAGTTAGTAGTGTAGTAGAGAGGATGAACATTATAAACAACATAATTGGAAAAATATTGCAACCAGTGG